GAGACAAAATTATTAAAAAATAATCATATCAAAGTTATTATAATTTAATTTTAATAAATTAATATTAAAAATGTGAATAATTATATAAAATAATAAAAAAACTCAACATGCGGGTCAACTTGTAACCTGTTAGGGTTTGGTTAAGGTCAACACTTCTTAACTCACAATCTGTTCATGACTCAACCTATAAAACCCGTGATCTGAGTAAACCCAACTCCGAATCTAACCCAATTTGCCCATTTGCCACCTCTACTTACCAATAGGTTAAATGTGCTATTGTTATGATTACCATTACTTTTATTAATGCTATTATTACTTTTGTTAAAGTTATTAAAATTATTAAATTTTGATTTCAATTTAATTGTTAAAAATAATTGTTAATTGATAAAATAATTAATATTTATTATCTAACAAATTAAAATTAATTTATAAAAAAAATATTTTTAAATATCATACTAACTATTTAAGAAAAAAATTACATACTAATAAAATTATAGATGATATTAGTGGCATTAACAAAATTAATATTTATTATCTAACAAATTAAAATTAATTTATAAAAAAAATATTTTTAAATATCATACTAACTATTTAAGAAAAAAAATTATATACTAATAAAATTATAGATGATATTGGTAGCCTTAACAAAATCACTAGTGGCCATGACCTCATCCAATTAATAATTTATTTGGTTTGAAGGAAATGAAGAGAAGGAGAGAATTTTTTGATCAATCATATTACAATATTTAAAAACATTATAATTTGATTGGTCAAAAAAAATTCTCCTCTCCACTTCCCTCCCCTCCACTCCTCTCAAATTAAAGATACCATAAAGGTGCTCATTTTTCTTTGTTGGGTATTTATATATTCCTTATTTCACTTAAGATTTCTTCTTGGTTTTCAAGGATTCATAGTAGCAAAATAATTTGGGTATTCTGTTGTCCTACTAATACCTAATCTTGGATTGCTAAGGGTTGAAAATTGGTTAATCCGTAGGGATTTCGTAATTTTCTGCTTCTTTTAAAGCCTCTCTGTAGTTTGAATTTTGAGTAAAAGAAGTTTCACCCATTTAACCCAAGAATTAATTTTTGAAGTTTTTGGACTTGTTTAAACAACTCTTCTTGATTTTGGATCAAGGTAGCTGTTTGATGACAGAGGTTTTAAACAAATTGATCTGGCCCTTTGTTACTCAGAAATTGAGAATTAATTAAATTGACTTTGTTTTTGATAAATTCAATTTGTTGTTGCAAGTAGTCTTGATTCTCAATTAATTTCACAATATTTTTGTTGTAATGCTTTTCAAAGTTTTGGAACCTTTCGAGCACTACTTTTTCTTTTTCTTTTTGTTTTTTATAATTTTCTGAAAAATTTATAATTAGATCTACAATGCTATTTAATTGGCTATTATCAGAATGTAAATTATAACTAAAACCTGAAAAACTACACACTATATTATGATTATCTAAAATTGCTTTTGGTTTTTTTATAAAGATGTGAAATAGCTAGGTCTAAATAATCTAAACTCATAAAGATAAAATAATATCAACAGATAATAATATCAACAGTTAACTCATAAAGATAAAATAATAATATCAACAGATAATAATATCAACAGTTGTGACGAAAGATAACATAGATAAACAAAATAGATAAGTAGAGGATAGCAACACAAAAGGAAGCCAAATATTAACAAAAGGACAAATTAGTTAGCAAATGTTGACCAAATAGTAACCAATTTTGACTAAGCAATTTCTTACAAAGAAGATTAATTATGTAGATGGGAAAAGGTGGTAGTTTACAAAATGTTGACTTTTAGCAAAACTATATAACTTTTAACACTAATAAGTAAATGTAGTCTGACACTAGAAGAAAATAAATAAGAAGATTTCTATTGCAATCCTAACAAAACAAATATGAAGGAAAACTATAAGACTGACACAAATTAATGCCAAGTTGATTTTTAACATCCAGTAGATAGACTTACGTAAAAGCTTTATGTAGAAAGTTAATAAATAAATTATAAGACAAACTAGACAATGTAGACAACTATATCTTTGGCAAAGATTTTCGTCTGTAGACTAGAATTTGTCCACTTTCCATACCACATACAAATATGTAAATGAAAAAGCTCTGATACTATTTTATTTTCGATCTCCTTTCTTTACCCATTCAGTCATTATCTTTCCAAGTTTTTCAAAATTCAGTGAGCCCCCTCTTTCCCAAGAAAGCTAGTGACCAACCCAATCAAGAAAACTTGATTTCCAAATCCCTAGTGATTTCTCCTAAAACGCCATTCTCGGCTTCTGCTTACATCTAGTTTTCTTTTACACCTCATCAATCACCTAATGGAGAGGACAACAAACGGCAAATCCTAATTTAACTCACCGCAAAATTTTCCAAAATAAAATATGTTTCTTGGCTTTCCCACTTCTCTCATTTTACGTCTCATTATTTTCTAGACTTTTGGCATTATAGTCAATTACAATCTCTCCTCACTCAAACCGTTAACCTTAGGGAAAATAAAAAAGAAATACAAAGGTGCTTATGTTGAAGATTCCCCCCTATTCCATCTAATTTGCTCTTCTTTTGTGAATCAAATAGTGGGCCTTTTTCATCTTCTTGATTCTTTTCCAAAGGAGGTTTGCTTTCCATTACCATATGCTTTAGGCAATTCTATTGTGAATTGTATGTATGCCCTTTTTTGGGAAATTTGCTATAATAGACATAACAATTTTTTTTTAAAAAAAAAATACAAATAATTTTCTCTACAAATATGTTTTATGGCTTTTGAGATTAAAAGTTCTTCTAAATTTGATGATAAGCTTAAAGCTAGTGTAAAAGTCAAATCTGAAAAAGAAGCATATCATCTTTACAATCAATATGCTTTATCAAAGGGCTTCAGTATAAGGAGGGGGAACATGCAGTTTGTTGATGGTACTCTTCGACAACGAAAATACATATGTTCAAAGCAAGGGTTTTGTAGGGATGAAGATTCTTGTAATGTGAAAAAGATTAATCATTTAGAGACAAGAATGAGATGTGAGGCCAAAATTCAATTCACTATATCAAAAGGAATTTGGGAGGTTACTAAATTTAATAATGTGCATAATCATGAACTTGCAAATCAAGAAGAAAGGCACAATTTAAGATTTGGAAAGAAGATATTAGAAGCACAAGGGGGTGTAATAAATTCAATGGTGAATGCAAGTATCAAACCAACAAAATGATACTTATTCCTGACCAAGGAATTATTTGAGATAAACCATGTTGGATTTACTCAAAAGGATTGCCACAATTACTTGCATTCTATGAGAAAAGTGATGATTAAAGCAGGGGATGGTCAAAGTTTGTGAATCATTTCAAGTGTAGACAAGTTGAAGATCCATTATTTTTTATTCAGTGCAAGTAGACCAAGGAAATCGAGTGATTCATTTAGAGATGATAGATTCAAGTTGGCCTATGATTCATTTGGAGATGTCATCATTTTTTATACTATGTATAGGACTAATAGATACAACTTAATTTGTGCCTCTTTTATCGGAATTAATCATCATTGGAAGAACATGTTATTTGGTTGTGCATTTCTTGCTGATGAGACTGTTGAATCATTTATTTGATTGTTTGAGACATTCTTAAAAGCTATGGGAGGAAGACAACCCAAGAGTATTTTCACGGATCAAGATCAAGCAATGGAAAATGCTATTAAGAAAGTATTTCCCAAATCATGTCATTGATTATGTTTATGGAATCTTTCTAATAATGCCAATAAACATCTTGTTGGAATTTATGGGAATCCAAATTTCAATCCAAAATTTTGTAAATGTCTTAGTGGTTGTCTAGATAAAATGGAATTTCAATCTACTTGAAATGATATGATCAAGACCTTCAATGTAGAGAATAATCATGGTTTAATAGGTATTTTATGGTAACTTTATTTCTTTTCTACCAACATGCTTTATTTCTTTAAGAATACAAGTTAAGAGAAAAGAATAATAGACATCACTAGCACGCTTTATTTCTTTTAGTTAACCATGCTAATTTGCAAACTTTATTATTTCTTTATTAGTTATATAAGACTGAAAAAAGATGGTGTACCATATTGAATGTAAATTTTTTTTTCTGTTAAAATGAAATCAACTCAAAGAAGTGAGAGTATAAATAGTGTTTTTCATCAAATTCAAGTTATTGAATATTATGAACAAAAGGCAGAAGATATGCATTAAGGATGCATTAAGGAGAACAAGATGAAGACTTCTGTTGCAAAATGGTTCCTTTGTTGATTTGATTAGTCATAAAGGAATTTTGGGACATGCTACTACTATCTACACAATAAGGGTGCTTCAAATGTTCAAAGAAAAGTTTTTCATGGTTTTCGCTTGAATTGTACTAAGGTAGAAAAGGATGGGACAAGACTTTTATATGAACTTGACAAGTCATGTTAAAAAAAGTCTTGAAAATGGAGTTTGATAAATTTGATTTTAGTATCTTTTGTACTTGCAAGTTATTTGAGACTTTGGGGTTATTATGTTAGCAGTTCAATATATCATGCAAAAATGGACAAAGAACGTAAAAAAGGGGTTGTTTTTGAACTGGTTGATTTAACTTGTGATAATGAAACATTTGCCCGCCTTTTATGTTTTAGTGAGTTGAATCATTTTGGCCAGAATGTTTTTGATAAAAGTTCATTCATTGTTGAGGGGACAAAAATTGTGAAGATAAAGTTAATGAAGGCTTTAGAGTTGATTGAAAAAGACTTACAAAGCTTAATTGAAGTTGCTACAACAGGAATGCGTGTAGATGATAACCAAGTGGTATATGATCCTTAATGTGTCAAAAATTGACTAATGTTAGAATCAAAAGCCAATTAGGGAAAAAAAAATGAAGAAGAAGAAGAAGATAAAAAGTGCAAAGACTTCTGCTATGGTACTAGAGATGAGAGAAACAGCTATTGAAGTCCAACAAAATTTTTTCAGTTCAAAATCTACAACATGAAGTGTTTGGTAAGAATTAAGATGCTTTTTTGACTTATTATTTATTGCAAGTGCATTATGTTGCAAGTGCATTATGTTGCAAGTGTAATGAGTAGAATCTTACTAATATATAATGTTGATAGATTTAATACAACTAACATATTCTTTTTTTTTTCTAATTTAGAAAATCAAGTATGGAATAACAATGTTGAATTTCAGCAAAATTTTGCACTTCAAAATGTACAACCTGAAGTGTTTGATGAGAATTAAGATGTTTTTTTGATTGATTATTTGTTACAAGTGCATTATGATGCAAGTAAACGAGTAGAATTTTACTAGTGTATAATGTTGATAGATTTAATACAACTAACATATTCTTTTTTTGTTTTTAATTTAGAAAATCAAGTATGGAATAACAATGTTGAAGCATAATAATTAAGTGTTGGTCTTGCTAATTAGGTACTTGTTGATTTTTATAGTCTAATTTTTCTAATGTCATTTAATTTATTAACACATAGCTTCATCTTCATGTACAAGGTACCGTTTCACAATGCATATCTTTTTATCTGCATATGACTTTTATAAAAATGTTGTAAGATGTTAATCTTATTTTGACTTCTCTGAATTTTCAAGATTTCAATCCCATTTTGATTGCTTCAAATTAGCTAACTCAAGATTTCAATTCCATTTTGACGATTTAGGAGCTGGCTTTTGAGATTTGATAAGATGTTGCCCATTCTCTTAACAAGCATATGTATTCTTGTATCAGTAGGTTGCAAATGGCTATGAAGTATTGACAGAGGGGAATCATTAAAGATGTGGATAAATTATGAGAGTCATTTTGTTGATCATATGATGGTATTTTGGTATATTAAATGATTATACAAAAATTGAATCATAGCTTTGGTGTTGCACAATGATTTTATATAAAACTTTCATTAGTTACTCATATTTAGATGATAATTTGTTTCAAGAGTTAAATTTATACCAAAATAACACTCTTTTATTAGAAAGATGAACTTTTATTAATAATATAATAATATTCCAAGATAAATTGCAATTCTCCAAAAAAAATATAGTACAAGGCAATTTTCTTGTGAAAATGATACAAGGCAATTTTTACAAGGCAATTTTCTTGATAAAAAAAAAGAGGAGCAATTCTTGAATCTCGATGTTCCTTTATGTCTTTCTTCTAGTTGTCATTGTGCCAAAGCTAACTCCTTGAATGGGGCTTCTTAGACAATTGAAAGCCAGTTTCTTTGAATTTTATATCTTAGTTCCATTCTCAATCTATAAATCATTGGTATGAGGGTTTATAGGTTGCTTAGCTAACTAGTAATCAATCTCTTGCATAGCACACAAACTGAAAAAATGACAAGAAAAGGCAAGATTTCATCTTTTGATGCTATGGATGCAAGTTACATATAATAATCACTGATGGTATGGAAAAGGCACGCCAAATCTATCTCTAATCAAGATGATATCTAGACTCAATGGAGGATTAGCAAATAGACTTGTCCCTACCAACAAAGAATGCCCCATTGATGCCATAAGTCAGGACATACATAAAAAATACAGGAATTTTGTGAAAAAGAAAAAAAATCTTCCTTAATCTTGCTTAAACATTATCCCCTTATAGGCAATCTTACTTAGGAAATACATCAAACACTTGATGGCCATGAAAAAAGTTTAATTTCTTATAACTAATTCTAACTATTCTTCTTTCAACCAAATCAACTAAATCAACCAAAAAGCATACATCCACAAATGACAAAAGCAAAACTTAACAATTACAAATTATTAATTAAAAATACCTATACCCAACCAAGAGAAACTTAATAGTTAGTTTCATTGAGAAACTTAGTAATTGTAATATCAAATTGCAATATCTATGATCAAAGAGCCTCTACAGATGCTATGTAGAGAATAATATTGTAACTGTGTGCAAAAATAAAATTAGAAAGAAAAACAAAAGGAAAGAAAAAAAGAAAAAAAATGCTAAAGGAAGGGTTGGGGAGATGCTAGAAAAAAAGTTTGCTGAGAACTCTATTTTGGAAAGATTTGTTGTTTGTTTTCCTCTCCACTAAGTAATTGATGAGGTGTAAAAAAAAAGCTAATGTGGTGGTTTCTAATTGGATTGAGATACTATTGACATGGTATTCCAATAATAAAACAGAGTTTTCCAAAGACAACCTAGGCTTGTAACAAGACTAGCCTAAGTAATATGTAAAACAGTAATAGGTTCTCCTAATCATTTTCCCTTCTAAATAATAATAAAATCAATTAGTCAATTAAAATTGGTTGGAGTGGTTAAGAAACAATTTAAATCTTTGTTAAAAATATGAGTTTAAATTCCTCTAATATTCTTTAAGTCTAAACAATTTTAATTGGAGCGGAGTATAGTATGAACTTTTAATATCTCATTGATTGAACAAAATGATCTCGCATCCTTGTTCCATCCAAGCCAAACAGCCTCACCTAAATTAATGAACGGACGGCAACAATTAAGGGCTTGTTTGGTTTTTTATGCAGTACATATCCAAAAATATAAATTTATTATAAATAAAATAATTATATTTAATTATTATTTTATATTTTTAAAAAACTCTTAATTATTATTAAAAACACCCATAAAAGAATTACACGTAAGTTGGGAAGCTATTTTTTTCAATAGAAATTGGAAGAGCCGTCAAGCCATTTGAGAAGTTATATTC